TGGCGAAGCAATTAGAGATGAATTAAAAAAAGTTATTCAAAATTGGAATTTAGATAGCAAAGTATTTATTATTATTATGGATGGTGGTTCCAATATGATTAAGGTTTGTCATTTTTTAACAAGTAAATTTGGTATAAACCGTTTACCCTGTGCTGCACATACTCTTCAATTTTCTGTTCAAGCTGGAATTAAACAATTAGAGTTAATTCATACAAGACTTAAAAGTTTGCAAGCATTTTTTCGCAGTCCAAAACAAGCTCAACGACTTCGTGAAGAGCAAAAAAAACTTACACATGAAGATCAAGATATCAATAATGATCCTACTGCTAATAATTCAAATCAATGGAATCCATTAGATATATTAACTGATTGTAAAACACGTTGGAATAGTACGTATCTAGCATGGAAAAGAATTTTAAAATTAGATGATGCTATTAGAAGTCTCGCAGCTACTCTTAGTTTAGCAAAAGATACTCAAACTCGTAATGAAGGTGAACGTCTTAATAGATTGCGTCTTAATTCTGAAGAATTTAAGTAAGTTTATTAATTTTTTTTATATAAAAATTATAACTTATTAATTTATTTAAATTATTAGTTTTATAGAAAATATAATAAAACTTTTGGCACCATTCGAAGCAATTACTCGACAAATTTCAGGAGCTAAATATCCTACTATTAGTTTAATATATCCTTATATGCGTTTATTAAAACAAAAATTTGCTCCAACAGATAATGTTACTATAGAAGATTATATGGATTTAATATATGGTCCTAAAAAAACAAACGAAGATAATAATTATGATAATGATATCAATATTAGTAATAGTAGTGGCAAAAATTCAATAACTAGTTCTGGTACTCAACATTATTTAAAAAATATACGTTATGAAATTTATCAAAAACGAAATCAAGGTTGTGGGCGCAGATGTGGACGTGGGCGTGGGCGTGGACGTGGTCATAATTATAATAATAATAATCAAGATCAGGATCGAAGTCAAGATCAAGATTATTTTCAACAATCAAATTTGGATTTTTCTATTAATACAACAGAATTATTAAATAGAGTTCGTGCTGCAGTTTACCTTTCTCTTGATGAATTATGGAATATTCCAGATGATGTTGCTCTTTTGGCTACAATTTTAGAGCTACGTCTTAAAGGTCTTTGATTTGCTACAAATGATAAATGTGTCATTACTCAAGAAAAACTTCGTAACAAATATCAAGAATTAAAAAATAATCAAGAAAATAATTTTTTATTACCATTAGAAACATCAAATTTTCAACAAGTTGAAGAACTCGATACTTTATTTGTTGATATGTGGGCTCCTTCTCAAGAAATAATTCAAGCTGAAGAAGATGAAATTGCTTGATATATAAGTTTTCCAGAAGCTAAACAAGAAGAAAATCCGTTAATTTGGTGGAAAGATCATAAAAAAACTTTTCCAGTTTTATCATCTTTAGCTCGTAATTACCTAGGTGTTCCTGCAACATCAGTACCGAGTGAACGATTGTTTTCAGATGCTGGTGCTCATATTTCAGCTTGTCGAACTAGATTATGTCCAAACTTAGTTAACTATATACTTTTTTTAAAACGAAATATTGAACATGTTGATAGTATTTTTCCATCAGATTAATTTTTTTTTATTTTTTTTTATTTTTTTTATCGATATATATGTTTAAAGAATACAGTTGGATTATACAAAATATAATTATTAAATATTTGAACGAATATACAGTAGTGGCAATAAATAATGACAATCAAGTGATCAAATAAAATTTACTCATTTTTTATTTTTAAAATCAG